TTTGAAGTACGAAGCAGAAATAATTCAACATACTTAACATTTTAAGGTTTTAACTGTGGTCACGTGTTTGTTGACATCATGATTAAAGAAAAAGAGGAAAATGAAATGGGCCAATGATGTTTAACTGTGGCAGGCAAAGAGCCATGCAGTATTCATTGACTTGGTGCAAAGATTCAAATTCTGTCCAGAACAGAGAAAAATCTCATTTCATTAAGAAGTTATTAGAAGAATAAAATGGTCAAGTGACCTAATTTTTAAAATTGCTCTTCAACGGTAAATGGTAGACATCCGTTCTGGACAGATTCTTAAGTGGAGAAACCAGGCAATTACGTTGGTGTTTTAACATATACCCATTGCATGTCATCTCGTGACCCACTTTCACTTTTCTCTTCATGTAAGAAAACTGCTATGACATGTCATGTGACCCCCAAAATTCCCCCTTTCAACAGAACACTAACTTAAGGATGTCAAGTTATATGTTATTGCCAAGATTCATCATGTTTACCTAAATTTTCTTAAAGTTATGACTCTTTGCAGCTTTTATGCAAAATAGGCTTTGGGTCATGCCTTAACATGCTTGAGATATGTGGAGTAGGCAAAGTGGCACTGATCTCAAATTATATTTTTCTTATGTAAAAACTCATTTTAAAGGTAAATTTGACTTGACGCATAACAAATTTTTCATTGGTTTTTTTTTTTGCTCTTTTTCACACCCTTGGGAAGAGGAGAGACTCTTGGAACTAGAAAGATCATGTGACTGCGGTATGCCGGTTCATAGAAGGCAAAGAAATAACAACTGGACATGACAAAAAAACAGGGAGTCATTTGTTTTTACAGTTTAGGAAAGTCATTTCGCCATCTCGTGTTTTAAACACGCCCCAGTGTTTGTAGGGGGTAAAAAATAAATACTAGATTAAGGTCAGAGGGTAAGTTTCATTGACCTTTTATTTAGTATTTCCTACAATTTTTATCCCATACAAACACTGTAATTTTTCCTGGTCTCCTGATTAGAGTATGAAGTTTCCCGGATAGTCGTCGAAGTTTGCCACTTCGTCAGCAGACTTGACTTTCCGAGAACAAAATTTCAAATATTTTGCCTTGTTTGAGCTATGCTCCGGTATGCCATTGTACTAAGTAGGTGGGAAGTAAACCAATCAGGTCAAATGTTACAATGCTAACAACATCTTTTTCGCAAAATCGTGACGATTGGAGTCAACGAGTATTTTTTCAGGGTTGTCGCTAAGATTTCAAGTTGCCGGGTAAATACAACAAGTAGGCGGGGAATCAAACGGCTAGGGATTTCTTTTGGTTCTATTTTTCTTCTATTTTCCAATAAAAGTAGCTGGGGGCCACTCTCTTAGTAGCCGGGGAAAATCCCCGGCCCCCGGCTCTTAATGACAACCCTGATTTTTTGCACAAATGACATCATGTGCCGTGCATTATGACGTCATCTATCATCCCAAACGGAGGGGGTGATTTCCGAGGGGGCTTTAAGCCAACTGGAAGAGAAAAAACGCTCTGAAACAAACTATAGCAGCGCTGATCAAAATACGCCGATTGAATTTCAAAAGGTCATAATAAATGAATTTATTTCAAGGAAAGTTAGAAGGCGGGGTTTATATCCCGGGGGGCTTATAATCGGATGTATTTTTTTATTACAAGTCAGATAGACCTATAACTGAGGGGAAGGGGGGGGGTTGCTTATAAGCGGCAGTTTATGGTTTGACCTTTTTGTAGAAAAGTGGGCAAAAGTTTAGGATCGCCTTTTAAGACCGTTATTCAGTAACAAGAGATATTTTAAACTAACGTTATGAAATTACCACAAATTTAGACCACTCATAGCTAACCTTTACGTTCTTTTACAGTCCAAAAGACACCCTTTTGACGATGCTAAATAGTCAATTTGTATACCCTGTTTAAAAATCCATACCCTGTTCAGCGATGCCTCCCCCAACACAACGTGTTCTATAGTAATAGACTGCTCCAGATGTTCAGATTGTGGAGAAAGCGGCATGAACTAGAGAGCGGATGGAGAGCAGATGAAAAAAGGGGGGGTGGGGAGAGACAATGAAACTTTTCTTTGTTCCATTCCCACGAACTGAAAGCCTGGAACAAGCTAGTTTAATTTTGTCTTTTTCTCTTTTGGGAGTGAGAGGGTTTTAATCACTAGCATCCAGTTGTAAATGACTTTCGATATGTGATAAAGAACTTAGAAAAAACTATGTCATTGACTTCCCACGTTCATAAGTGTAGGACGTAAAAGTCTGGGGCTGAGACCCAGGAGCATGATAGGATATGAAAAATCCCGGTGTTGTGTAGAGAAGTTTTACTGCACGGATTCTATTTGATCGGCAAATAAAGTTAAAGGAAAGTGAAGACAGCGTAACATAAGCAGTTCTTGAATATTTGATCTCCCGTGCGACGTCAAGTTGCGTACCTTGTTGAGAATGAGTAATAAATCCAACTCCTTCGAAAGTGATCTACTGTATTTCCAAAAAGGACCCGTTCCGTACAAAAGCTGATTACATCTGAATATATCACGTGTGCATGCAAACCTAAACATCTTTGCTGTTTGAAGTAAAACTGACATTTTAGTGTCAATAAACAATACAGTGTTTTCGTGCCCACGAGAAGTTATCTATGGGTCGCTGCCAGTATTTCCCGGCATAATGGGACCTTGTTCGCAAACGCTTGCGTGATGATTTTGACCTTGACATTTGAAACATCTCGTTGTGCTTTGCAATCTCGTTCAATGTGTGGTTTTTTGAGACAAATAAAACACCTCCCTTGTTTGAGAAGCAAGCATTTTCTAACCTTCACGCACAGAGGGATGTGACTTGTGACAATAAGTACAATTTATCTTTCCCGTTCCATTTTGTTAGCGATGAGTATACTGGATTAGTACGGTTTGATATTCCCACACTCGAAGTTGCGCATCTTTCTCGGTTCTCTAGTTCGGTCTTAAAGGCCTTTACTAGCTCATCTAAATTCCAGTTGTTGCCACAGAACTGACGGCTGAGGATAAGGCGTAGATCGTCTAGCCTGCGTGAGCAGTGTGCCATACTGCGCCAAATCCACCCGTTGTGCTTGTAATCCATGTACGTGGATTTCAAGTTGGTCATATATCTGGCGAATCTTCTTGATATCGGCCATCGTGCTCACACCGTTTAACTTTAACATAGCATCCATACGCAAATTGATGATGATCTGGTTTTGAGCAAACCTCTCTTGACGAAGATCAATTGCTGTTTTGTAATTTTCTTCTGTTAGAGATAATCCCGCAATCGTAGCATATGCTGAACCCTCTACTAGGCTTCTTAAATGATTAAATTTCTCAACATCCGAAATACCATTTTCGTGAACAGCAACCTTGAAACTATCCCACCATTCTTGCCATCTTTTGGGATCACCCGAGAATTTTTTTTAAGATGAGCTTGGGAAGTTTGGTTGAATGTGACGTTGACCCTGTAGCTTGAGGACTTGAAGACACTGGAGAAGGGTCTGAAGGTTGTGAAGGTGTTTTCAATTCCTTTAAGAGTGAATCCAGTTTGAGTAAATTAAGATGAATTTCGTCTTTCTACGGGAGGCTAAGAAGTTAAAGGAATAGTTACAACGGAAGGAGCTGCTCGAGGTTTTATCTGAACAGGTTCAGAAGGTTATGACTTTCAAAAGGGAAATCTCTCTAGGAGTTGTCAAGATAAACGAGCTTGTCATCAGGAGCTACTTGTGGTACTCGTTTGAGCAATTTCGAAACACGCAAGCGGTGGCCACCTCGAATCTTGATTTGCTGTTTAACATCCACAGACATGATTCTCCTCGTTCCTTGAATCCGGTTCCCTATCCGGCTCCTTACCCGGCTCGAAGGACCAAATTTGTGTTGAGAATGAGTAATAAATCCAACTCTAGCCTGCGTAGAAGGCCTCTCTCGTGTCTCCCTCGCGCGTGCCTGTTCCCTCTTTCGCCCACTACTTCCAAGTGCCTGCTACGCAGGCTAATGCAACTCCTTCGAAAGTGATCTACTGTATTTCCAAAAAGGACCCATTCCATACAAAAGCTGATTACAACTGATTATATCACGTGAGCATGCAAACCTAAAATACATCAGTAACATCTGTTCATTATTTCTGTTCACGATAAGAACCGACAATGTTGATTGACTTGATACATCATTCCGTTTACTATAATAACATATAACCTATTAAGCGTAAAAGCGATTTATCTCTAATCCGATCAAAAAATAGTTAACTTGACAGCTCCTAGTAACGCAATGGCAAAGTAATAAAAACTAAACAAAAACAGTGTCACTATTTCAGAAAAGTATCGACATACCTTATTATTTGGGCGTCGCCCAAATAGAGTAATGGAGATAGCTATTTTTGATTCGAAGTTGCAATAGGTACGCAATACGTGCGAATGTAAACACGCCAAGTAAACAAGCCAAGTGATGCCATTAGAATGTCTGTCGCGGGGTGTGTCACGGCACAGCATTTATCCTCGTTACGTATGTCACACAAATAACCCATGGCAATTTAAATCGGGAAAAGAACACACACACACATGCTAATCTGAGTTTCAGGCCTTAATAAGAGGTAAGGGGAAATTATGATGAAACAGTGGGGCAAGAAAAGAGGGAGAAAGGTCTGACACACAAAGGCTTTCTTCTTCATCTCTTCACTATCTGCCGTTTCCTCTAGAAAAGCCCAGGCGAGTATAAAGCACCAGCGGTTAGAAAATGCATTTTCTGGTCATGTGATCTGCTACTTTTCATGTTCTGAAAGGTTGTTTAGACCGATATAAGTCATTCGGTACCGCCCACTGAAACGTTTTACCTGGGTTTTACCATCCAGTGAAACCTTTTTCCGTTTTCCCAGTATTAGCTGTAATTGATTCTCTTTTTTTTTTCCATTGTAGTAGTTTCTCTATTGTCAGTTGTAGTAGTTGTAATTGAGGCTTTACTATTAATATTTATTTTAGATGTTGGACGACTTTGATGTTTGATCATGGCATCACCTTTACAGAAAGTTCAAACGCGTGATGACCGAGTGCATGGACCTCGCAAAGTGAACGTCACTATTTTGGCATCTGAATGGGGACCAAGGAATTGGGGGCTCTCTACCATTAACAGAGAATTAGCCATTCAGTTAGCCAAGTTCCCTGAAGTGGAAATAACTTTCTTTTTACCAAAATGCAGTCAAGAGGACAAAAACGTAGCCCTTGACCACAAAGTAAAGATCGTAGAGGCTACGCCACTTTCTTGTTTTGAACAGCTTGACTGGCTTTGTTTTCCACCAAACGATTTGGAAATCGACATAGTTGTTGGTCATGGAGTTAAACTTGGTAGACAAGCGCAGGTCATTAAGAAATCTAAAACGTGCAAATGGGTTCAAGTGGTGCACACAGACCATGAGGAGCTTGGGATGTTTAAAAGCTATTCCCGCTCAATTTCAAAGGGTGAAGAAGAGCACAAGAACGAAGTAGAACTGTGTGAAATGGCTGATCATGTTGTAGGACTTGGACCCAAGTTGAGCGAGGCCTTTCGCTCGTGTCTTTCTGGTTGTAATAAAGATGGTTATGTCTTTGACCTCACTCCTGGAGTATTTGAAGAGTTTGAGACTGTAAAGCAAGTCAGCCGAAGCGATGGGCAACAACGCAGAGTCTTGGTGTTTGGTCGTGGAGACGTAGAAGATTTTGAATTAGAGGGATTTGACATCGCTGGGAAAGCGATTGCTGCATTACAAGATACTCATCTTGTTTTTGTTGGGGCGCTGGATGGAAAACACAAGGAAATTGCGAAGCGGTTAATGGAGTATGGTGTTCCTGCCAGTCGATTGAAAGTAAAAGGATTTGTTCAAGACCGAGAGAATTTAAAGCGCTTATTGCAACAAGCGGATCTTCTAGTCATGCCTTCAAGAGCAGGGGGATTTGGTTTAACAGGACTCGAGGCAATGTCAGCTGGTCTCCCTGTACTTGTCAGTTGCAACTCTGGCTTTGGACAAGCACTGCGCAGTGCAGTTTTTGGTTCTTCATTTGTGATTGAGTCAGAGGACCCCACAGTGTGGACCGCAGCCATTCAAAAGATCTGGAACAAGGACAGGGAATGTCGACTTGAGGAAGCGGTGACCTTGCGCGATTCCTATGGCAGGAAATACGACTGGACCAAACAGATAAAAGAGTTAGTTGACAAGATGATCAGCCTGACTCATGGTAGGAATGTCAACTATATTTTCTTCAGTATCACATTATCAGGTAACAATAGAGAGAAAAATGAAAAGAAACTAAAATAGGATCGCTTACAAGTTTTGCCCTGAAATCTTGATAAAAATATTGGCGGATACCTGTCTGAACCTTATGCTGAAAACATCAAAACTGTAATGTTTGTAATTTCTTCAGGTACATTGTTTTCAGCAGAATGGTCTGTGGAGAGCGCTCGTCATACTCTTCGGTCATAGTCTTTATCTGCAGCACTTCACATAATTATATGATTATATTTTTTACACACACATAATCCCTACAATAGCATGTTTTCTCCATTTTGTTGCAACAGAAGATTCTCCAAAGGCTCGGAGCTCCTTCGAAACAAAGTGGAACGCTTCTCAGAGGATGGAAAGCATGACTGACGACCATGAAGGTATCTTTGTAGACAGCACGGGCAGTAAGTTAATGATCTCTAGAAGCATTCCAATGAGTCCAAATTTAAAATGACGCAAATTTTAGAACATTTATTCAGTAATCTGACTTCATGAAGTTTCAAACCGGTGTCATTTAGTCTAGAAATTTTTAAGTTGAGTGAACTGCAGCGAAAGAGTGCCTGGTTAAGGCTTACATAACAACTTAGATAATTGACAAAACACTACTTTTTTCGCAGTCCGATAAACGACAGGATTTCGCACGGTATAGACAAGAAAGTGAATGAAACATAGTATAGTGAATACACAAATTATCACCTTCTTATCTGCAACCGCGCCTATGGTTTTATGCCATTACAGCCCGCTGAAACTATACCTAGATCCAATTTTCCTGAGTCGAGAGTTGCTTTTCCGAGGTACAATCAACTAAGCTATTACACCGATGAAACGTTTTTATGGCTGGCACAGACCGCAGAGGCAGGTACAAAAGTCGGACCGGATAAACTCGGACCGCCAGTCCGGGTTGGATCAACTCGGATCAACTCGGGCCTAGCCTGCATTGCAGCCGGCCCACGCACTCGTCTAAACCATTTGTGTAGTCCATTCGTAGACGCTCTATATAGAAGGTTTAGAGCGTCTGCGATGCAGGCTACTCGGGCCAACTCGGATCGAATAAAAAAATAAAAAATAAATAAAATTGGACTTGGATCAATAAAAAAAATTAAATTAAATTAGCAGCACTGAAAGTTTAACCAATTTGGAGGGTAAAAAAGGCCAGATCATCCTTTTTTTCTCCGTGGCTTTCAGCCGCCATTTTGTTTTACTAGCGCCCCGCAGGGATTTCGCCCAGAAGGCGAAATCCCGAGGAGGCACTCTAGTAACCCGCGCGTATATTAAGGAAAGTACTTACAATTGAAATATACAGTCATACAGTCAATATAGAAAAAATCTTGATTTGCTTGAACAGGGGCCGCGAGGAATTGGTAGGAAGTACGAAATGGTTAGGATGATGTAAAACACAAAAAATCCGAAAGGAACAGCTTACAATAGGTAGATTTTGTGACGTTAATTGTGCAGTCACACTTCGATACTCTTTTGCATTACGTGTTATCAGTGACATTCTGTGGAGCAGTTGTTATGAAAGTTATGGACCAAAAGACACTCGTTAAGCGCAGATGAAGTTATAACGTGCGCAGAACATTGTATATTTTAACACTAACTGAGTTGGCCAGGCACAAGTTCACAAATCTTTGATTGGAAACCTTCAGATGAACCTTGCCAGACACTCTTTCTCTCTCTTTGACCGGAATAAGACTCGGCCCAAAACAAGCAAGACGAGCGAATGATTCAACGGCTAGCTTATCACTAGCAGAATGATGGACGATTACAGAAATTCGCCGACCATCAAATTTGGTGCTGACTTATTCCCTGCTCACAGATGTCCTTCCGCTATAAAGTTTAAAATAAGACTAGAATGCGCGAGCGTGTGATGAAACGTCCTTTTAATTTCTAAGGCTTACTTCCCGGCAAATGAAATGAACTAAATGTAAAAAGTGAAATAGAAATAGCGAAAAATTAAACTTCTAATTAAATCTTTTCTTATGGTTTGGAATAAACTATTCTTGAAACTGAGAATGATTATGTTTTGATCAAAGCTGTGTAAATCGAACCGAAACTGTGCATGGAACCTTGCGTTTATTTCCTGTATTTATCTCACCTATTGTATGGAATATATATGAACATCTTCATTATGAATCGGTAAATTTGAAAGAGCTGTAACACAAGGAGCAAGAATGCTATATACAGAGCGGGGGCAGCTGTAGTGTCAACTGTTACTAGTATTACAAACCCACTCCGTGGTTGCGTTACACGAGTCGTTCTGTTTGGTCGACCTCGAAGAAGGTAAAATCTCGACCATCTTTCTCAATGAATTTGCATAATTCCAATAAAATGATAGTTTCAATCGCCTGGAATGCACATATTTCCTTATTACTGGGCTGCCTGTGGCACAGCCCAGTTATAAATTGGACACGGGTTTTGTAGCTACTGCGCATGCGCGAGTAGCTACAGTGCTATCGTTTTGATGGATAGAGTCGATTTTACGAGGGCTTTCGGAGACCTCCAGATCACGATCGATTTTCTTGGCGCACGATAATGCCGGTAGTAAAATTTAATTTGATAAGCATCCAATTTCGATAGACTTTACTAGCTTTTTCCTTCGGGAAACGATGAATTCCCTCCCAGGAACCAATAAACTTGTCTTTACAGAGAGTGGTATGAGATTGTTTTTGTATCTCATTAAAAACAAACCGGACACCAGTTACACAAGAGTTATATCTTGATGAGAAAACAATGCCTCATGTTTATGTTATTGTTAGCCGCATCTACGGCAGATTATTTTTGTACCTCATGAACAGCAAATCGGACGCCACTTACACAAGGACTTATCTCTTGATGAGAAAACAATGCCTCATGTTTATGTTATTGTTAGCCGCATCTGAGCGCGCTGAGAAAAATCCATTGAAAATAAAATTTCGAAAAGATATTCTCGAGTCGTACAAACCTATTGTTTGG